CTGGGGTGGGGGGGTAGTAGGTGGGGGTCAGGGCATGCCTGGGTATGTCTAGGCATGCCTAAAGCAGCAACCAAGCATTTTACAGAAGCTAAAAGAGCAATTAGTGGGAGTCTGGAGAGATTGGGGGGTAGCGGGTGAATGAAGAGGGTCTCAGGGTCCCACGCCTGCACAGGGATATACCCAAGGAAGCCAGACTTCTCTTTAGAGTTCCATAAATTAAAGACCCGCTACAGGGTCAGTCTATGAACTTCGTAAGAGCATTGGAATCTAACTCAACAATCTCCAAATTTGAGGAGAGTTCAAGACTGCAGATTAAAAGCCAAAAAGCATGTTTTGTACTAACTTGTAATCACTGTCAATTAATTAGGAAACACTGAGTTTTACCAGAAATCTTTTATTTTCTAGGAACCTTTAATATCCACTTTAAAAAACTGGCATAGGGGCTGGAGCAATAGCTCAGCAGTTAAGAGTACTGACTGAGAGCAGTCTGGGTCCCTATTCCCTATTGGCAATTTGGGTAACCCCTTCAGAGGATGGTGGGGTTAGGCAGTTAGGGTTCAAAGACCCCCCCCCAAAGAAATGCAGCCAGTTTTTTGGCTAAAAGTCAAAATGTCCTTCAGTCTGTTAGCAACATACTCTGTTCCAAAGGCCAAATATGTCAAAAGTATTTGGGAGCTTGTATCTAACTCTTAAAAGATTTTAGGATTACCTCTTCAGAGGGGGGAATGTTAGAGGGGAGGGAGTGGGCATGGATTTAATCAAAACACCTTATATGCATTTGTGAAGTTCTCAAAGTTTTTGTAAAAATTAAAAATACTTTTATGTACAAAAAAAGAGTACTGGCTGGACCCGGGTTCAATTCCCAGTACCCACAGGGCAGCTAACAGCTGGTTGCAACTCCAGTTCCAGGGGATCTGACGCCATCTTCTGACTTCCACAGGCATTGCACTTACATAAATGCAGGCTTTACACTCATACACATAAAATATCAAAAAAACAAAACAAAACAAAACAAAAACCCCAAAACCTCTGACAGCTCAATTTCCTGAAGGTGATTTGGTTTGTAGAGCAGTAATTAACCGCAAGAGGTAGAGGCTGGCCTAGGTGAAAAGATCAAGTTAGGGTGAGGAACACTACCATCTC